CGGATCTTGGGTAGGGAGTCCCGAACTGTGCGTCTAGAATCGATGGAAACAGGAGACGGGGGACATGATGTTTACCCAGGTTCGGGCCCTCTCTATGGAGGTAATACCCTACTTCCTGCTTGATTGATCTTGATGAATATGAGTATTACAAGAGTTGATCTACCACGAGATCGTAATGGCTAAACCCTAGAAGTCTAGCATATATGGGTATGGTAATGAGTATATGTGGTGTCCTTTCCGGATTATCCCCTTCGGTTTATATAGACACCGAGGGGATCTAGGGTTTACATAGAGTCGGTTATATAAGAAGGAATCTTCAGTCGCCAAGCTTGCGTTCCACGCCAAGTAGAGTCCAATCCGGACACGGTGCGGTCTTCGGCCTTCATGTCTTCACAGCCCATCAGTCCGGCCCATGGATAATAGGCCGGACGCCCGAGGACCCCTTAGTCCAGGACTCCCTCAGTGGGCCCTCTCTGGTAGTTATTTGCTCCAATATTCCTCATATATTCCAAAACAATTCTCCACAAATTATCAGCTCATTTGGAGATGTGCGGAATAGGTGACTCTGACGTAGCTTTTTCAGGTCCAGAATTCCAGCTGTCGGCATTCTCCATCTTTGTGTAAACCTTGCATGTTAAGAGAGAAAGGCATTAGAATGACTCCATAAAGCATTATTATGCATTAAAAAATTATAAATCACAGTAGGAAAACATGATGCAAAATGGACGTATATTCCACAGGCAATTTCTTGGTGGCACGCTTCGATAGGTCATCTGCAATGTTGTTCTCGGCACGAGGAACATGCTCTGCTTGCAGACCGTCAAACTTCTCTTCCATCTTCCTCACTTCACCCACATATGCCTACATAAATGGGCTCTGGTAATCCTTGTTTACTTGCTTCACCACTAACTGCGAGTCGCCTCTCATGATCAACTTTATGTTACCAAGGTCGATTGTGATGCGGAGTCTGGCAAGCAATCCTTCATACTCAGTAGTGTTGGTGGTGGCCTGCTCCTGGAGAAACTTCATTTGAACCACATACTTGAGATGATCACCGGTGGGTGCGATGAGCAGTACTCCGGCACCGGCGCCCTGGAGCGGAAAAGCACCATGAAAGTACATGACCCAATCTTGGGGGGCTTCCTTGCCAGGAGCGAGGTCTCTCGTACTTCTTCCTCTAGAGTTGGTGTCCATTCCGCAATGAACTCTGCCAAGGCTCTGCTTTGGATTGTTGATGTGCTTTCAAACTTCAAAACAAAGCTCGACAGCTCCAACGGCCACTCCATCCTGCCAGTGGCTTCTGGATTTCTCAAGATGCACTACGGCGGAAAGCGAGTGACAAAGGTCATCTGATGTGCTTGGAAGTGAGGTGCAAATTCCTTGAGGCCATGAGGAGGCCAAAGAGCAACTTCTGTACACCAGAATACCTTGATCTATCCCCCTGGAGAAGGGAACTAGCAAAGTACGTTGGGTGCTGCACCATCTTCTTCTTCTTCAAAGCTTGCTATTATGTCTCATTTGCTTGTGCTGAACTTGGGTTGTTGGCACCTAAACTTGGCGGAGAAGATTCCGTCTTGTCATCTTGAGGCTCTGCAGTTGTTATATCTTTGTCTTCAGCTTTTCCCTCTCGGCCACTAGTGCAGCGCTAACTACTTGATTGGTTGCCGCTAAGTATGGCAGCTGTGGCACTCATGGTATTGGCGCAACTAGTACTGATGGGGAGGAGACGTACTCGGTCAAGTCTTGGAGCGGAGCTCCCACTTCAAGGGTCCATTGCATTGGACCTGCCTTTTTCAATATTTTAAAAAACGACAAGGCGCGCTCAACTGACTTGCAGATAAACCTACTTAGAGCTGCTACGCAATCGGCAAGACGCCTCACATCCTTGATGTGCTGTGGTGCCTTCAACTGCTCAATTGCCTTAATCTTGTCAGGGTTGGCTTCAACTCCACGCTGAGATACAAAGAACCCAAGAAGCTTGCCGGACAAAACACCAAACACACACTTCTAAGGGTTGAGCTTCAAGTTGATCTTGCGCAAGTTTGCAAATGTCTCTTCTAGGTCTTCGATCAGTGAATACGTGTGCCTGGTTTTGACCACTATATGATCCATATATGCTTCCACATTTTTGTGTAGCTGAACCAAAACCAATTTGCACAGCCCTTGCAAATGTCGCTCCGGCACTCTTTAATCCGAATGGCATGCGTACAAAACAGTACGTACCACATGAAGTAATGAATGTCGTCTTCTCCTCATCCTCATTGGCCATGAAGATCTGCAGTGGTGGAGACAAGCCTAGGGCAACTAGGGCTATAGCCCTAGGCTTAGTACCAAAATCCCTTGTAATTCCTTTCTACAAAGTACTAAAAATTTCAAGAATTTGTCATTCAAGCTATCTCAGCCCTAGGCGTAACTCGTTGCTAGCTTCACCACTATAGATCTGGTGATAACCAGAGTAGGCATCAAGAAAAGAGAGCAGGTCGCAGCCGACGGTGGAGTCCACAATCTGATCAATTCACGGCAAGGGTAAGGGGTCCTTTGGGCATGCTTTGTTTATATTAGTGAAGTCAATACAAAGCCTCCACTTTCTATTTGCCTTGCGAATGACCACAGGATTTGCCAACCAAGTTGGGTGCAGCAAACCTCTGACCAGGCCTGCCGCATCTAGTTTTTGGATTTCTTGGGCAATGAACTCTTGCCTCTCCAAAGCCTGCTTCCTGACCTTTTGCTTGACAGGTCTTGCATTAGGGCAAATAGTGAGGTGGTGCTCAATCACCACCCTGGAAACGCCGGGGATATCAGATAGTTGCCATGCAAACACATCAATATTCCCCCGCGGGAAGGCAATGAGTGCACTTTCCTATTTTACATCAAGGGTAGCACTAACGATAAAGGTACCGCCAGTGCCATCCTCCCTGGCAGAGACGAGATCGGATCCCCAGGTCCGAATCAAGGCACCGCCGCTGCCAGAGGAAAAGCATGCCCGAGTCACCCACCACCATAGCTGTCGTCGCCCACACAGCCAAGAGACATAGCAACCACCACCAACATAGTGCCTGTCGGAGAGCCATGCGGACCGCCTTCCAGGTCCGCCGCCACGGCATCCAAGCCCCCTATCCCCACCAACCGCTCGCTTCACAAAGCGCAATCCACAGCAGAAAAAGTCCGGCATCAGCCACCGAGTTAGGGTCAACGCCACCAACACAGAAGCGCTGACACCAATAATCCCCACCAATGGACCGGGGGGACATTACCCAGTGACTACCGATGGCCATCACAGAGACCTAGCAAAAATACACCAAGTCTGCGGTTTGACACACCATCCGCCCGCCGACACCACAGATTCCCACTCACCACTGCCACAGACCACTGACGCCATAACGCGAAGACGCCTCCCCAACCAACCGCAAACACCCACCGTGGCGTGACCGGAGGGGACCCACAGCCGAGCATCCTCATGGCAGTCGGTAACTCCGTTCGCCGAGCAGCCAGTCCAATGCCCTGGTCCCATTGGCTCCTCAAACACGCCCCGTCCCCGCCGCCCAATGCCAAGATCTCGACCCCCATTCTCTGCCCGCCTCCACGCTCGCGGGAAGGGACCGAAGCTCCACATCAGACCGCTGGTACTCCACCAGACCCTGGCCGCACTCGCCACCCAAGGTTGCTTGGAGGACCATCAGACCCACCAAGGCCATCTGCGCCATTCCCCTTAGGGCTCGACACCCACAAAGAACGCAAGCTGCTGCAGGAGGGGGCCATCCAAAGCGCCATTTCCCACTGCAAGAGGTCTTCCAGGACCTCCGTCGTATGCTATCCTAACCTCCAACAAGGTCCCGTCTGAGCCCCCGACAAAGATACCGGTCACGACGTCGTCATCTCGAGCTCGACACTGACCAATCCAAAGAGAGACTCAAAACATATGGACCCCATCCTCACCTGTCAAAACCTTCGTGTCGCCTGCGCCTACAACGCCGCGACTAAGCCACCTTGAGGGCGGCTCCGTCTCGCTCCTGGCTCGGCCTTGATGGCTATCCTGCGCCTTGTTACTGACATGATTTTACATTCCAGTCAGCTAAGGATTAGCAAAACCGAACTTATATAGACACATTTTTTTGCGGAAAAACTTCCAATATATTCATCTTCAATCATGGCAGTACAACGAACACCAGAAATAAAAATTACATCCAGATCCGTAGACCGCCTAGCGACGACTACAAGCACTGAAGCGAGCCGAAGGCGCGCCGCCGTCATCACCCCTCCATCGCCAGAGTCGGGCACAACTTGTTGTAGTAGACAGTCGGGAAATCGTCGTGCTAAGGCCCCATAGGACCAGCGCACCAGAACAGCAACCGCCGCCAATGAAGAATAACGTAGGTTGGAAGGATTCAACCCGAAGACACACAAACGTAGACGAATAACGACGAGATCCGAGCAAATCCACGAAAGATAGATCTGCCGGAGACACACCTCCACACGCCCACCAACGATGCTAGATACACCGCCAGAACGGGGGCTAGGCGGGGAGACCTTTATTCCATCTTCAGGGAGCCGCCGCCGTCTCGCCTTCCTGAGCAGGACACAAACCCTAACAGAACAGGAAAAAACGACTGGAAACGGAGCCCTCCCGCCGGCCCTTGGCAGGATCCACCGCGCCCCATGGCCCTAGGGCCACCGAAGACGAGGCGGACCTATGGCGGCGCCGGCGAGAGGCAGAAACCCTAGCTTTTAACTTATATAGACACATTGATAACACATTCTTCACAATACTAAATTGAAGCGCTGCCAACATAGAGTCATAGATAAGGAGATACAAAAATGAAACATTATTACTAAGATTTCTTAATCATTGTGCACACATGAATCCTTGAGGGAAATCGACCTCTTAGTTCATCCATCCTCATGTACAAATCAAAGAAACACACATGCATGCCCTCGATCGGTCTCTACATGGTGCATCCCTGAGGAAATTTCCATTAAACTCGCCGGTCGGTCGTGTATATTTATGCGACGCTGAAGGATCCTGCGGCGTTCTCGACGAACTTCTTGGCGCCCTTGAACCACCTCTTGTCTCCGGCTTGCGCCTTGCAGACGTAGAGCTTGCCGTCGGCGACGGTGGCGGTGATGAGCTGGTGCTTCCCTCCCTCGTCTCCGTCCGCGGTCCTCGTGAGCACCGTTATGCTGTAGTACTGCTTACCGTCCACCACCGGCGCCGAGCTCTCCAGCACGTTCGCCGTCGCCACAGCGTCTGACTCGAACCCACCCTGCATCCCCACATCGTCAGCACACCTGGGGAATGCATGCAGGTGCGACAAAGGAGAAGAAGAAGAAGAAAGGAAGGAGTTATTAGACCTCGGAGTCGGTCTTGCCACCGTAGGACTGCTGGCCGAGGAGGAAGCCGACCTGGGAGAGGAACTCCTCAGGGGAACCGTAGTCGGTGATGGTCTTCTTGGTAGTGGGGTTGATTATAACGGAGAGGTTGCTGGTGGCGTCGAAGTTGTCCTCGTAGCGGAGCACCTGCCCAGGGAACTCACGCTCCTTGCTGGGGTTCCACTTGGCCGGGATCATCAGTTTGAACCCCTCGCCGCTGTACGCCACGAAGTCCGTGTTCTTCTTCGCCTTGCCGAACACGTTGGCTGCAACATATTCATTCGCGAAGTCACTCATCCGAAACCGAACCCTACTGTCACTGTCGCTCACATGCACGGCAGCTAGCTCGTACCTGCTTCTCCGTAGGCGGCGGCGGCGGGGGAGACCTTGACGGCGATGGCGGCGGCACCGGCGAGGAGGGACAGCGCGGCGCGCCGGCTGGTGACGACGGCAGCGTCAGATGCAGCCTCGTCATTCTTCTGCGCCTTGCAGACGAAAAGCTGGGTGCGCCCGACGGCGGGCGCAGGGCGCGCCGAGGCGGCCAGGCGCGCGGTGGACTGGTGGAGGAAGCAGGAGGTGGACGCCATTGCTCGCTGCTGTTTAGCTTAGCTTAGGCAGGACTGTGCGTGAGTGGCGTGGGTATGGTGTGTGTCGCGTTAACTAAGGTGATCGGTGGGGTCCGGAGGCGCGAGAGTACTTGTGGTGTGTGTGTGGATGGAGTTGGGATGAGGCGCGATACCATCGGATAAGGCCCCGCGCCGCGCCATTGGGCCACGTCGGATCGCGGTGCACCCGGTCATTCGTCCCCTCGCGGCTTCTGGCGACCGCGACCGCGACCGTAATTTCTCGATCCGCATCGAATGATCCGTGCCTGTCACACACTGGCAACCGGCCCAGTGTTTGTACGAATATGTCAGTGTTCTTGTGCTGTGTGTAGAGTATAGCACAAAAGAGTTGCGACATAATCCCAGCAGATCAAATCAAAGATTAGCATTTTGGATTAAGTAAAATGCATCAGAGATCATTAAACTTGCCACGAGAACTTACTTTGATCACTGTACTCAAAAATGTGGTCAGTACAGTTACTAAATGCAACAAGACATGAATGTACGGTCACTGCAGCGTATAACGCTCGTACTAGTCACTGTTGACCAGTCCACGACTCCACGTCGGTGTTAAGTGAAATGACCCACTTTGCAAGGTTTTTTTTTGTTTTGCACAAAATGGCTCGGTCACCTCTCTTCAAAAATTCCTATCTCCCAAATCCCTAACTTCTCCGACGATCCCAAATCCCTAACTTTCCGTCGATGACATAAGTCGTCCCATCCGTTGTTGGCCTACTCTCCATCGCCAACCGTCGTATTCCTGCTCGCCATCGCCCACCTTCGTGGTCGCCGTCGCCATGTCGAGTAGCTTTGTTTGATCAATTCTCGGCGAACGAGTTGTGGTGATGTGGCTCGTTACATGCCCTGATTGCTAGTTTTCGGTGAAGTTCTACATCTCAAGCACTGAGAAACATGACAAATTAGTCTTCAACAGGTGTGTGTGAATCACGGTGTAAGCCCCCAGTGACGTTCATTGTTAATTTTGATGGAATTTGGCCGATGCTCTATGGAAAATTTGACACTTTTTTGATCTATTTGGTTTACATGATATGTGTACTTTATGGCATCGAGAGTTGGATTATGTAGGTTATCTTGTCGATCGTGAGATCTTCATTGGTAATGACGTGGTAGATGCAATTAGCGGTGTTGCTGCAACTACTTGCCCCCTTGATTTTTGAAGATTGTTGACAAAAATAGTAAGGGACTGATTTGTTTGCTAGTGCACACAGAGAGAAGTAGTCCCTGGAGTACCGAGAAGGATGTTGTATTCTTCCCTGAAGTCTGGAGAACTTCACCGAGGAACATCTATGTTACAGATAAGGAGATACATTTCGAGAAGAAAGAGTATCAAGAAGATTGTGTGAAAGAATTGACCCCTTAAAATTATTGCTGACACAAAGCAATTTCCATTCGGTATGTCCGAAGAAGGATGACTGCAGTCGGAAAATGGAAGGCAAAGTAAAGATGTAGCATTTGAGTCATAGGACCTCTGTACTATTAAGAGGGGTATAGGTTCTCGAAGCTTAGGTCTACTGTGATGCTTAGCCGAAACCTATGAAAGACTGAGAGAAATCTCTTTGTGTTTCGAACGATTACTTGTGAGCCAGAGATGATGTTCTTCTGGATTGCAAGAGATATACTTCAGACCGAGGAGTTAGCATTACTTGTTCTGCAAGCAATGTTACCGTTGTGCTCAAATTCCGGCCGTTGGAAACATGTTGGTTGTCCATTGGCTAGATCGTGTGTCCTAAATGGTCATTTCCCTTCAGGGTAGGTTGCGGGTATAAATAGCCACCCCGCTCCAACGTTTTTCATTGGCTACTCCGCTTGAGATTCTAAGAAGACTGGTTGAGCACCCCACTTGAGAGATTTGAGTTTAAGATCCACTGAGAGAAATTCAAGAGCCAAAACTTAGATAGTGATTGAACATCACAGTAGATCTGAGTTAGAGTTCTTGTACTTATTACTCTTGAGAGTTGCACACTCTCTAGACAGATAGGTGATGGCTTGAGTGTCGAAGAGTAGTTATCTTCACCAAGCTAAGTCTTCAGAAACCAAGAGTAATTGTGGTTCACAAACAAGTCTGTCAAAGGTTTGGAGATTGCCATTAATAATCTACCCCAAGTGAATTCAACCAAAGTCTGATCAGCTTTGGGTTAAAGGAGAATAGGACGAAGAGAGATTTGCTCATGTGTTTAATCAAGTCCCTCCAACCAGACGTAGCTCTTTATCAGAAGAGTGAACTGGTCTACCAAATCATTTGTCTCCATCGAGCACCACTGATTCATTGTACTCTACTACAATCCTTCAGTAGTTTATTTTCAGTGCTTTGTGCCTCGATAGATATCTTTGATCACTTTCATCCCCTTTTGCTTGTGATAGTTATCTATCTCTCTGTGCTATAGTTCATTATATCTGTTGTATGCTTTAGTATTTTTCTGTCTAGTTGAGTGTGCTCATAACATGTTATCTTTCGTGGTGATCCACGTATGTAGTTTGCCTTACTTTCATTCTATGCCACCATTATGATAGCCAAAGCAGTGTGCTACAATACCCGAAAGATTATCTTCACCTTTTTCGAAAGTTTTGCTTAATCTTTCACCCTTCCAATTTGGTGTGTACACTTGCCTCTGCTATCCTTCGGTGCACTTGATCAAGTATTATATTTGTTGTGCTGATTGGTTTAGATTCAAAGTTTTGAAAGAAAATATGAATCTCCCGTTCACCCCCTCTGGTTGATATACTCTCGGCACTAACAAGCACAACAAAGGACATGAATGAAGAGCTTATTTGAGCAAGGGATGAAAGGGCTGCGATTGCAGGAAAAAGTAGAGGCACTAGAGCTGCAAGGGGTGTTTGAGGAAAACCTGCAGGTACAATAACCAAGCAGCAAGAAGATGAACTATTAGGTTTAGGTAGAGAAATGCTGGTGGTGCTGAAGGCATTAAGGCAATTATGGCAACTGTCATTCTGCTTTATGTGATGTGTGTTATTTCACTTCTAAAGAAAAAATGGCAAGTGATGGTTAGTTTGTTTAGGTGTACAAGTGGTGTTTAATTATCTATTGGTCAGTTATAAGGCATGTATGGCCTCATGTAAGACATGTTGATGCTGGTACTTCATATTTAACTTGTTTTTATGAACAAGTGATGCTTCTGCTATTATGGGTGATGTTGTGATTGTACAACTTGTTGATTTGATGAGTTGGTGCAAGATGACCATGATATATGAAACATTTTGGCATGTTGAGAATACATGCAAGATTTTCATACATCATGCTCTGCGACTAAAACTAGGTTGATGCTCTCTAAGAAACAAGATGATGATGTGACAAGAACATACTCAACCATGCTAAAACAGAGGCCCCCTCTCTCCAAGACAAGCTATAAGATTCACAAGCTTCACAGGGCATAACTAATTGATAGGACGACTAACATACTCAACCATGTTGCATGAACAAGGATCCAGTCATGATGACACGGACATAAGTAAACTTGGCACATACATGATCAATAATTGACCCTCATATCCTAACATCAATATGAATCAACTATAACACTTCCGTGCTCCGTGGATTGCTCCTCCTTATCTCATTTGCATAGTTCCAAGGCAACTTGTACTGCCCTTCTTCATCAACATGAATGATCTTCATGGCCAACCTCCTAGCCCTCTCAACTTGGTCTTTATTGGTGTCCTATGCCATTACTTTTGAACAACCCTTGAGAAGTTTCTCAAGTTCACTTCTTGGTCAGCTCTAAAGCTCTCTACATACTTTTTGTGTAAGGACATGAGGAGTGAAAGCCTTCATCTTCCACTTCTTAGTGCATGTGTGTAAATGAATATACTTCACCATGAAGCATTTGGTCATGTTGTCATAAGAAACCCACAAATACCAAATACAGTCAGCATTATAGGTGGTTGTCACTCTTTTTCTATCATTGACTAGCAACTTGACATCAAACATATATTTGCAACAGTATTCCTTAATTTCTTTCCTCAGAAATTCAACAGTTTCAAAGACTTGTCCCAAATGTAATTTTGGACAATGCCGGTACTTTGCTTTGAAAGCTGTGAACTTCATGTCAACTTGTTCATCTGAATCTGGTGCCCATAAATCTTCACCTTCAAATTGATATTATTCCAAATTATACTCATATTTTCCTTTATTTCCTACTCTCTCGTTTCCTTTATGTGCTACTTTCTCTTTTGCGTTAACTTCACCTTTTTGCTTCTCTTTGTCCTTTCTCTCTTGAGGCTCATCCTCATCCACATTGTTAGCATATAGATCATCATCACCATGACTTATGTCAAAGTCATTGTCCACTATGGCACCAAGATCAAAGTATGAACCTTCAGAGTCACTGTCAGCTGTTGCATATTGAACTCCCATGTCATATGAACATTTGCTTTGTGTGGTTTTCCTGATGCACACTCCTATTCCACTAATAATATTGTCCTCTTGCTGACCGTCACTCTATTGAATTGGCTCTTGCTGAGTGAGATCTATGACAACAGGGTCTGTCTCATTCAGTTCTATGTTACATGGCTCTTGGTTAGCAGCTGAGCACTCTATTCTTGCATATACATACTGAAAGGATCGATATAGTTGACTAGAGGGGGGTGAATAGGCAACTAACAATTTTTAGCTTTTCTTTACCGATTTAAATTTTGCATCAAAATAGATTGTCTAGATATGCAACTGGGTGAGCAACCTATATGATGCAACAAGAACAAGTACACAAGCAAGCAAGGGATATAACACAAATAAGCCTGCACAAGTAAAGGCACGAGATAACCAAGAGTGGAGCCGGTGAAGACGAGGATGTGTTACCGAAGCTCCTTCCTTTTGAGGGGAAGTACATCTCCGTTGGAGCGGTGTGGAGGCACAATGCTCCCCAAGAAGCCACTAGGGCCACCGTATTCTCCTCACGCCCTCACTCAATGCGAGATGCCGTGATTCCACTATTGGTGCCCTTGGAGGC